CACGAACCACAGGAAAACGGAAATGAACAACAATAATGCGAACACACACAGGTGTGTCGTGAATCGTTCCAGAGAAGAGAGTGAGATTTATGGGGAAATTTTGTTTATGTTAACATTTTTCAAAAATTTCCACATTATCATTTCACACACTGACATGTAACCCGGTGTTTATAGATAGAGAATATTATGGGTGCACATTCATAATAAATATGAATAAAACTGAAATATGAAAAATATTTTATAATATATTTTGGAAGTAAGTAACGGAGATAAGTCTGCAGAATTTGCGACAAATTTGGGAAATTAAAGTTTACATTACACAGTAACCCAAATAGAAATGCGGCCCAATTTGAAAATTTTGGATTAATATTCCTTGGATTTAGGTATATGGGTATACGGAAATAAATGGTTACAGAGGGTACAACGAAATAACGGTCTCAGGCCCTAAATTTCTTTGGACCAAATCCGTTTCAGGACATTTAGAGTCGATCTAGAGATGTCTGCCTGCTGGAAAACATGATACCTCTCGATGGTAGCATCCGCTTTGGTCTAAATTTTGTACATTGTAATATTATGGTTAAACTTAGATCGAGTTTGGAGATGGGCAAAATCGATTAATTCTTTCTGGTCAAATTTTTAAAGGAAATAATTTACATCATAGAAAGAGAAAGGGTCATTGAATTTTGTGCAAACTAAACAAATCCTAATATACGAATCAGTGTTAGGTCAGTTGCGAAAATGGACAATATCGGCCCACTCCATCAATTACCTCCCCCACAAAGTGTCAACATTTTGAATAAATACAACTCTTATAAAATGTTATATTGGATCCGATTGTCTTCAATCTCCGATTTTCTTCACACATCACATTTTTTCTACTAACACAAGATCTGCTGTGAAAAAGGAATATATCGGTCCACTCCTTCTATTACCTCCCCCACAAAAAGTCGGATTTTGAATATCCATTAAGCTCACAAAACGCGAAACTAACATTCGATTCCATTTAGACTTGGAACATCTGAATATTTCTATCAACATAGGATCTGTTATAAAAACAGTAGATATCGGACCATTTCTTATGGTACTACCCCTCAAAAGGTCAACGTTTTGAATAACCAAAACATTTATATCCAAAATAAGCTTCAGGTTATCTTCCAGCAATTCTTTACAAATTGTTATATCTAAATATTTCCCTCAACCAGAAATCTGATATGAATATAAAATTTATCGGAATTTATGATTTCACATAAACATGGATATAAATGTTCGATTTTCTTGTAATTTAGCCCATACCAAGATTTTTATCTGTATTAGTGAAGTATGCAAATGGAGTACTTCGGTCGACTATATCTGGTAGCTCACGCACATTCTAACATTTTCTAAAAATTATCACATATCTCGCAAAAAAGTAGAGGAAGTAACCAATATAGTCCAAAACTGGCACGAATGATATTTTTGTATGATATTTATATAGGCACGATACGAAATGATAAATATTGGCCCATTCCTTTCGAACCTACTCTTTAGAGGGTCAACAATTTGAATAATAATAACAGAAGTCATAATATATTTAAATAATCGAACATTGGCTGAGGGCCTGTCGGCAAAGCTGACTGAAACTTTTTAACTTGTTTTTTTGTTGAAAACGACAAAGGAAATTTATTTTTTTTATTCTTTCATTTATTCAGTCTTTAAAGAAATACAAATTTGTGCGCTACATAATTACCACATAAAAGATATCATTAATTTTTGGGGTATAAAAGCCCTTTTTACTTTCGCCGAATTTAGCACATTTTTTGAATTCGATGCCAACTTTCTTATAATTTCCCTGTCCAATAATCAGTTAGGGCTGTGGGAAATTTCAAGTGGATTTGATAGTACTCCGTTTGTAGATCAAAAATTCAAAAAACTTCGGTTTCTTTGGCTAAGCCCTTAAAGGCGCTTATATAGACTTGAACATATACATAGGGACCCAAATTTTTTGAGCAGTATTTTTGAGCAATAACTTCAAGAATCATTGTATCAAGTACTTTTTACCTTTTAGACATATTTTCCAGCTTTCTTGGAAAAGGTCACAACTTGCAATGACAATGATTTACTTCATAGAAACCTTCTAAATCTAAATATTTTTGTCAGACTAGGTTAGGTGCAAAAATGGGCATTTGTGCAATTTTGGGCAAACTTTGTAAATACCGATATTTTTACCAGTTCAGGTGCGAACACGAAAAATATTGGCCTACTCCATCATGTACCTCCCCCGGCCTAATACATCATGAACGAAATCTCATAAGCATCCGATTCTCTTCAAGTTTTATACATGCCAATATTGCTTTCAACACGATCTGACGTGGATATGGAATATATCGGCCACTCCTTGCGGTACCTCACCCACCCACCATGGAACTCATACATAGAAAAAATTAGCATCTGATCCCTCTCAAACCCGGCATATTTCAATATTTCAACTAAATAAGATCTGCTTTGAAGATGGCACAGTAGACAATATTGGCCCACGCCTTCGGAACCTTCTCCATTATGCGTCAACAATTTGAATTATCATAACGCAAGCCAAAAAATAAACGGACATCGAGTGAGGGTACACATCAGTCATCAAAAAACCTCTTAAGGACTTCCATTAACGTGGATTTTTTTTTAAATCCTTTCCTTCAAGGACTTCCACAAATGCATATTTTTTTAAATATATTTTCAAGGACTTCAACAAACTTGGATTTTTCTAAAATATTTTTTCAAAGACTTTCATAAAAGTAGATTTTTAAAAATATTTTTTAAAACGAACATCGACTGAGGGTTTACATCAGTCATCAAAAAACCTCTTAAGGACTTCCATAAACGTTAATTTTTAAATCATTTTCTTCAAGGATATTTATATATATTTTATATTTTCAAGGACTTCAACAAACTTGGATTTTTCTAATATATTTTTTCAAAGACATTGATAAAAGTAGATTTTTAAAAATATTTTTTAAAGGATTTAAAAAAACTCAAGGTCTTTAATAGACGGTGATTTTTTAAAAAAATTAACGGGCTTCATTGGACGTAGATTTTTAAAAACATATTTTTTATGGACTTCTATTGACGTGGATTTTTAAAAATATTTTGTACACGGACTTCCATAGGACTTTAAAACATTTTGTTCACTGACTTCCATAGGATTTTAAAAATATTTTTTTCAAGGTTTTCTATAGACATGAATTTTTAAAAATATATTTTTTTTCAATGTCATTAATAGACACGGATTAAAAAAAGTCTTTAATAGACGCAGATTTTTAAAAATATTTTTTCAATGTCTTTAATAGACGTGGATTTTTAAAAATATTTTTTAAGGTCTTTAATAGATGTGAATTTTTAATAATATTATTTTTTTTTTTTTCAAGGTCTTAATAGACTTGGACGGACTTCAGTTTTGACATGGATTTTCAAAAAGGTCTTTAAATAGACGTGGATTTTTTAGACTTTGATTTTTAAAAATATTTTATTCAAGGTCTTAATTGACTTGGATTTAATTTTTTCACGGACTTTTATAGACGTGGATTCTTAAAAATATTTTGTTTTCAAGGACGTGGATTTTTTAAAATATTTTTTTTCAAACTCTTTAATAGACGTGGATTTTTAAAAATATTTTTTTCAAGGTCTTTAATAGACGTGGATTCTTAAAAATATTTTTTTCAAACTCTTTAATAGACGTGGATTTTTAAAAATATTTTTTTCAAGGTCTTTAATAGACGTGGATTTTTAAAAATATTTTTTTCAAGGTCTTTAATAGACGTGGATTTTTAAAAATATATTTTTTTTCGCGGAAACAAATAATTTTTTTTTCGTGAATTTAAAAAAAAAAAAATTTTAAGATCTTTAATATAAGTGAATTTTTAAAAATATGTCTTCAAGGTCTTTAATAGACGTGTTTTTTTAATATTTTTTCAAAGTCTTTAAAAGACGTGGTTTTATAAATTTTTTTTTAAGCTCATTAATTTTTAAATATTTTTTAAGGTCTTTAATTGACGTGGAATTTCAAAAATATTTTTTTCACGGACGTTAACAATATTAAAAGTATATTTCATTCAAAAAGTTAATATTTTTTGAAATATTTTCTCACAAACTGCAATAGACGTGAATTCTTTATTTTAATATTTAATTTAATATTTTTTTTTTCACTGGCTTTGACAATATTGTACATAGTTTATAATATACTTTATTCACAAATTATTGTTTTTAAAAATATTTTATTCAAGGACTTCCATAGATGGATTTATTATGAACATACTTTCTTCGAGGATTCCCTTAAATTTTTTTCTTATATATTTTTTCTGAAAATATTTGCTTTCAGAAACGTGTTTCTTTTATTTTAATATTTTCTTTAAGGACAATGTTGTTTAAAAAAAAAGAAAGTTTACTTGACAGACTGATTTAAAGGACGGAAGGGGATATTTCCCCTTCCACGTCATTATTTTATTATTACGCACATATCACATATTCATCATCATAATTTTAATTTAACCCAGACTTGTTCTTTCACTTTATTCCCCTCACAAGTAGATATGAAAAAACGATGTTACAGAAACGAGTAAATTGCGACGAAAAACACACCAAATATTTTTCATTTTCTGTCAAATTCTCACACACATTTTCTTTCAACGCAGGGAAATATTAAATAATAATTCAAGGCGACTTCTCCTTACTTTTCATTATTTCCTTCATTCATTCATTTCGAGGAAACAACTCACCGGGGATATTTGCCGGCTGGAGGTTATATTCGTATTTTTTTCTCCTTTGATTGGAAAATGTTGCCATTTAAATTAAATTTTATGTGAATGTTAATTTTTATTAAGACGCATGTTAACACAATTTCATTTGGGAGATTTTTAATTTAATTTATTTTTCTTTCTGGTGTTTGTTTTTCATGGATTGCTGCCACTGCTGCTGCTGACGATGACGATGATGGTGTTGGTGATGATGATTATGATACTCTCTCCGTTATAAAGAGGCAATGTGCGTTCCTTGTGGATGGGCGTTTTGTGGGCCTTAACTTCGGGTACTGGTGTGGCGGTGGCATTATTACAAGGTTCAGCTGGTCCGCTTATTGGTGTGGCAATTTCGGCCTCATTATTGCCACCGGTTGTGAATTGCGTAAGTAGAAGCATAATTTTTAAGTGGAATTGAAGAAAATGATAATTTTCACATTGGAGATGGCATTTAAGAGACTTTTCATTATGAAAATGATGTTCGGCACATTAACCTCTTCCCCAAAACCCAATTTGGTTTTTATTCTTTTTACCAAATTCATGCAATTCCTACAGGCTCTCCTTCACATCCTTGTTGAACAGCAAACACTCACTCCCTGGAATGTTTGCCAAATCACAAGCTTCCATTGTTTGTTTGGCAAAACTATTTGTTTGCTCGTCTGTCTGTCTGTCTGCCTGACTCCTTTTTTGCAGAGAAATGATTTCAGCCATACCCCGGCTTTTCCCCAAATTGTAGCCAGAAACTAATTTTATAATTTATTATCACACATAGCAAAGTAGTTATACATATGTATATATGGGGGGATAGAGGAAGGAAATGAAAATGGAAGAAAGGTCCATGGAGTTTGGTTAGAAGTTACAAAAAATAAATAATTACTTATGCCGCTAACGACAAGGGATAGAAAGAAGACTATAGTTAGGGACTATAAAAATTAACGACCAGACAAAGACGAATAGTTCCAGATTTACATTACATTTATTCGGTTGGAAATGGATTGCGAATTAAGAACATGTTTTACATTTAGTAGAGAGGGCAGAGTGTTTATTTTAAGAAAAGATACAATACCGGAAGATATTTTCAAATCTTCAATAAGTAGAATGTCTCTTAGACAGATAAAGAACGTCACCAGACGTTTAAAAAGCCATCGATGGATGGAAAACCTTTCACCAGCCATATACAGATAGCAGGCTGCCCATAATTGCGAAAAATATCATAGAATCACTTTCTGAGTCGATTTATGCATGTCAGTCCGTCCGTTCATCCATGTATCCTTGTGAAAAGAATACAGGACCCATTTATAATCCGATTGAGATGAAATTTTCCAAACAATATTTGTTTGGCTCAAGGACGAACCCTATTGAAATTGGTGATAATCGGATCCGATTTAAATGTAGCTCCCATATATCTTCAATCGATTTAGGTTTAATTGTGCACCACATGAACTGTGTTTTGGTACATCCCACCGAATTTAGTCTAGAAGCAAGTAAATCAAATTTGAAGAAAATCACTTCAGATATATCTATAGCTCCCATATATATGTTTCATCCGATTTGGGGTTTGAAGTCCCTCACATGCGCAATATGCACTCCAGAAGAATGATATTTGGTACCAGACATCAGATACTGCTCTAAAATAATTGTATCAAAATTTGTCAAGATCGGTTCATATTTGGATATAGCTCCCATATCTATCCTCAACCGATTTCGAGTTAATTGTGCACCAAATAACCAATATCAGTCCAAATGACCTGAATTTTGGTACATCCCACCGAATATAGTGTAGAACTAAGTACATCGAATTCGGAGAAAATCGGTTCAGATATGGCTATAGCACCCATATATATGTTTCATCCGATTCGGTTTTTAACTCCCTCAAATTCGTAATATGCATTCGACAACAATGATATTTGGTACAAGATATCTTATAGAGCTCGGAAACACCTCTGCCAAATTTTCGGTTTAGATTTGGATATAAGTCCCGTATATTTCGGGTTAATTGTTTACCAAAAAGCTAATATCAGTCGAAATGTCCTAAATTTTAGCATTCGAGCGAATTCAGTCTGGAAGCAACTACATCAAATTTGATGGAAATCGGTTCAGATATAGCTATAGCTCCCACATATAATATTTCATCCGATTTGGTGTTTGAAGTCCCTCATATTCGTAATATGCATTAAAAAGCAATTATATTTGGTACCAGATACAGGGTGGCCCATGTTCGACGGACCCATGACCCATTCCAATCGACGAGGCTCTGCAGGCAACATTCTTTGCGTCAATTGAATTTTGTACGGGAACAAATGCAAATCAATGCGAATAATCCGTTGTAAAGTGGACCGAGCCATGCCCAACTGCTGAAAACGGCGTTTTTTGGATGTTCTTGGGGACCTCTCAACACTGGCTCGTACGGCAGCGATATTCTCGGCCGTTCGCCTTGGTCGACTTTTATATGGCCCCTTCGGATTAAAAAGAGCCAGTCGAAAATTTTTCGTATAAACGCTTAATGGTGTTCTTAGAAGACGCACTTCTCACATTTTTTTCACAATTGACTTCTTCTGTTGAATGTAAATTTCAACTATTTCATTTTTGGTGAAAATCGATTCAAAATTGGATATGCACCCATATATTATTTCCCTCTGAAACCAAATTATAACCGCTCTAAAGCCAAATGTTGGTAGGTAATATGGTCTACTTCAAATAAATTCTTTTGTTACGGGAGCTCTACTAAATATGCACGGTGGTGTAGGGAATCATACAGTCAGCCCACCCGGCTTTTAACTTTTTCTTCCTGTTTTATTATTTATTTATTTTTTTTAATTACAATCTTTGAGGATCTGTTACGACAAATATTGATAGATCGGCCCCAAATGTCCTGCACCGTTTTTGGTTGGGTTATGAAATATTTATTTTGAGAGGGTCGTATCAACTGATCCGTTCCTCTGCGGCTATTAGGCTGAAAATATAAATGAGTAGTGAATACCAGGAGTTAACGCAGAGAAAATTGTACCGGCAACTCAAGTTGAATGGGGTCCAAACTGATAGGCCCCTTTTGCCAATAACACCTTTTACAGACCTTCTATGGTCGGAAAATCGTTCAGAGACCTTTCTCAAAGAGCCTTTTCTCGCCTTCTTGCCCTTACCCCATTGTCATTAACATAAACTATTCCCCCTCTCACTTTTATGGCCAACTAGTAATTTGTAGTTCGAGTGGGGGATGCTCATAAAAGTTGGTGTTTGGACATTTGGCTTTTGTGGTGTAATTTATTATGTTTGGTTAGTGGCGAAGGAGGTTGATAAACAACTTCTCTCTCTCTCTCTCTCTCTCTCTCTCTCTCACTCTTTTCTAGCAGAGAAAAATTATTCTCCCACTTAATGTTATTTTTCACAGGACCAAAAAAGTGGCATTCTTCTTTGAGTTGTCTGTCTTTTTTCGTCATTGAAATTCCATAGTTACCGCAATTTTTCATCTGCCAGTGTTAACTATGTCAACGGCAACAACAACAAAGGCGGGGACAACAACCACGACATGAACAACATTAGCAGGCTTAGGGACAAATATTTTCACTTGGTCTATGACTGTTGTTTGCTCAACTTGGCTAACCGCACTTACCATGATTAAGTGATTTTAACGCCATCGCTGTGTTGTTGTAGTTGTTGTTGCTCTATGAATTTTGACTGATAATGGGCTATCATTTCTTTGTTGTTTTCAATTCAGGCTATTTAAGGGAGCGCAGAACAATTGCTGCTGGCTTTAATATTAAGACGCAAATAGTTTTTATATATCAAAAAAATAAATATTTGACTTTGGAATAAAAACTTCTGGAGATGAGAAAAATCCAGAATGCTTTTCGAGGTCTCTACGAGATTGTGTAGGGTATATTTTTCACTGCACAGAATATGATTGATGTGTATAATTTTTTAATATTGATATTTGTACTTTATTTCATCTGAACATGGTATTCAAATCTACTTGCTGAAATCATCAAATTCGGCCCTTTTTGGTCTAATGGATGTAAAGAGTGAGATAAAAAAAAACTTCAACAAAGTCAAACGCTATAATTTTTACATTTTTATACCCTACACCACAAGGTGGTACGGGTATTATGTTATTGTGCATTTGTTTGTAACAGGCAAAAGGCAAAATAGACGTATAGTTCCTGTTGATGATCTGCATAGAATCACATTCTGAGTCGATTTATGCATGTCCGTCCGTCCGTCTGTCCATGTATTTTTGTGAACAAAGTAAAGTTCGCATTTATTACCCGATCCAGATGAAATTTTGCACAGATGATTTGTTTGGCCCAAGGACGAACCCTATTGAAATTTGAGATGATCGGTATAATTTACGATATTGCACCCATATATATCTTCGTCCGATTTGCCTTTTATTGTGCAGATATTGGAATTTTGCACATACAACCAAATTAGGCCTGAAAATAAGTATGCCAAATTTAATCGAAATCGGTTCAGATATAGCTATAGCTCCAATATATATTGTTCATAGGATTTGTTATTTTAGTCCTCCGCAGCCGTAATATGCACTCTGTAACAACAATATTTTGGGAAATATATCAAATACAGCTCAGAAATACCTTTCCTAAATTTTATCGAGATCGGTTCGGATTTGGATATATCCCCCATACACAACTTCGTCCGATTTACTTTTATTGTGCACCAAACGTCTAATATTTACCCAAATGGGATGAAATTTGGCACTTACGGCCGAATTGAGTTTAGAAGCTAGTATGCCAAATTTGATCGAAATCGGCTCAGGTGAAGCTATAGCTGCCATATATATTGTTCATCCGATTTGTTATATTTGTTACCCACAACCTAAATATACACTCTCTAACAACAGTATTTGGGGAAATATAGCAAATATAGCAAATACAGCTTAGAAATATTTTTGCCAAATTTTATCGAAATCGGTTCAGATTTGTATATAGCTCCCATATATATCAAATGGGAAATACAAGTCCGAATTTAAAAGATACAAATGTTTCGGCATATTTAGTCCTTTGAATTTTAAATTATAATTATAATCATAGGGTGTATGATTGAATTCTCCCATAAAAACTTTTAATTGTTATGTGGAGCTCTACTAAATTAGGAAAGTGGTGTAGGGCATCATAAATTCGGCCCCGCCCGACTTTAAGACTTTCTTTACTGTTTTTTTTTTTTTTTAATTTTATTGAATGAAAGCAAAAAAATGTCGAACATTTTTATCAAATTTTACAATAAATTTAGATTTGTTCGAATTGGTCATCTTTGGCACGAATTATGGCATTCAAACCGCCAATGAAACCGTCAAATGATGCCCGAATGTTGATCTGCGGTATTTTGGCCCATTCCCGGCGAAGCGCTTGCTTGAGGTGATCGACACCA